ACTGTGGCAGCCCGGCATATTCCAACCCAGTCAGTGTTGGCGGGCCGCCGAGTTTAAATCACTCGGCGCGTAAAGGTTTTGCAGGTCTTCTGGCACTTGTGACTTGTCGACAGAGTTCTTAACGAACGCATCCAGCTTCTCATATTGACGAAACAGCTCGCACTGGCCGCCTTCATGGACTTGTCTGCAGAATTTGCAGCGTCGTCGACAGTAGTGAGCCGAGTGCCCCATTCTTCCACAAGCTGCACAAGATCCTCGTTGGGTGTTGTCGCGTGATCCATCTCCACGGTTCGACCGTTCTCGTTGGTTGTACGGTCGCGGAGGTCGGTTCGCTGAGATTCCCCAGCTTCGGTTCGAGCCATTTTGGTCTCCCGCCGAGTTCTCTCGGCGGTCCGGTGTATTTCCTTTATCATTGGAAACGCCGGCGTCAATGTAGTCGTCGTCTTCCGCTGAGTCGTGTCCTCCGGACTGGTCCTCATCATCCCATTCGTCTTCGGAGTTGTACGGACTCGGCGGGTTCTGATCGATGAGTTCCTCTCCGTCGGAGTCAGCGTCAACGACAGTGACTCGGCGGTCGCGGTTTTCTTCCTTACGACTTCGCTTCTCATCTCGGCGGCTCTGATCCTTCCGCTTGTCATCTCGGCCTCGTGCGATCACGAGTCGCTCGCGTTGCTTCTTGCGCTTCTCGCCGAGGATCCGACGATTGATTATCTGTTCCACCTTACTGATGTCTTCCAACTGCAAGGGGTACATCAAATGCATCACACCGTCATCACCACAATGCAGCAAGAAGTGTTCGACATGGTCAGCTGCGTCGGCGCCACCCTTCTCGTACTGGATCTTGGCCGTCCGAGCATACCCGTTGAGTCGGATCAGGAAGTCGCAGATCGGTTCGTTGACTTTACGTCTCGCCGAGTAGTAGCGAGTGCGGGCGGATTGGTCGAACTGTGAGCAATAATAATCCAGGAACGCTTCGCTGAGTAGTTTCCAACGTCGCTGAGTCTTCTTCGGCAGCTGCCTGTACCAACTCTTCGCCGTGCGTCCCAAGCATAGCGAGAAAGGCTCGCACCGCACTTTGGGGCATCCTGGTGCTCTTCATCTCGTAGATGAAACGCTTGAGCCACTGGAGCGACGCGTCAGAGCGGTAGCGCTTTCCTTCGAACTCGGCGATTTTGTCGAGCGAGGCGTGGGCTCGGACTTCGAGGTACTGCGTCGAGTCCTCTTCAGTCGCGTCAAAGCTCAAGTTTCGGATGTAGTCCTTCACGGTTTCTTCACGGTTACCTCTCACGTCAAAGGCGTCGTCGTCTTCTTCATCCTCCTCGTAAGCCTCAGCCTCATCTGCAGCGTCATACAATTCACGGTAACGACCTACATTTCGCTGCCCACGACTCGGCGCTCGCTGAGTCGGGTTTAGCTTCAGTGGAGTCAGCATGTGAAAGTCTTCGAAGTACGGAGTTCCTTGCGTAGCGCGGAGCACTTCACGTCTCTTCGTCTCCGGGGTCTTCGGCAAAGGAATCTTGCTCGGGTCCTCGCCGAGTGGTTTGAACTCGGCAACTCGGCTGTACACCTTCTTCGTTCCACCAGGGGCCTTCTCCAATCCAAACGCCACTCTCAGCTTCTTCTTCCATTGCCAGAGTTCGGCTCCGCCACGGGTCAGACTCCAGTCGGACAGGATGAGGCTGTTTGGTCGGCTGTTGCACCGATAGCCCATCGCCTTCAACAGCAACACAGTTTCTTCCACCAACTGGTTGATGTTGGCTGCACGCACCGGCTGAGTTAACTCGGGACCCAACATCGACCACTTCGCCTGCGCCATCGCTACAGGCGCGAACATCATCATCCATTCCGATCTCGTTCTCATCTCCTCGCCGAGTCGAGCCAACACTTTATTGGCGCTCGGCGTATCGGCGTTCCTCGTCGCTTTCGGAATAAGGGGCGGACGGTCCCCTTGAGCAACGCCATGTTCTTCTTCATCTTCTTCATCGTCCGCACCTTCGTCGAGCTCGGCGGATAAGTTGCGCTCGACAGGACGTGGGGCTCCCATGCGTCCCACCTGCAGCGTCAACTCTCCCACCTCGCCAAGTAGCTCGGCGGTAGTCTTCGTTTCTCCGAGCTCAGCGGTCTCGGCCTTCTCTTCGTACTCTCCTTCACTTGCATCTCCGTTCTCGCTCTCCTGGTCTTGGCCATCCTCGTCGAACTGGACGGTTCGTCCCACCTCCATCGTCATGGCGATGAGTCGTTGATCCGCCGGGTCCGACCCCGCGAGAGGCGATCCTCCAGCCGTCGCTGGGCTTTCGTCGCTCGGAGTTGTTGATCCTTTGACCATCTTCACTCTTCTCTTCTCTTCCTCTTAACTTGGTTAGCTGGCACCTGTAGAAACAAGCACACACTCCTGTTCCCGGGTCGCGGCACCAGTTGTGGTGTAGTAGAACACACAAATATCGTCAGATGTGGATTCCTTACACAAACCACAACGAATCGCCGAGCTAGGTCGGCGGTTTGTATGGCCTGCGCAGAGGGTGGTCCCCTCGCGGTCCGGCCCTTCCGGGACAGACGAGTGGCTCGCTTCCACCCGGTTCCGACTAACCAAGTCAGATCACTTCCGAGGCTCCGCCGAGTTTGGTTCGGCTGAGCTCGTTCACAACCCTGTGCCCTCCACCAAAGGATGGACGACGGCGCGCGAGCGCTTTTACAGGTCACCGAGCGCAGAGGCAGCTCAGCTAGAGGTGTTACGGCACCCGGGCTATCCGACGTACCGGCCCGCTGAGTATGCGGGACTTTCTTTCGCGCGTAGCGAGACTTTGTCCTACCCGGACCGACCTAATCTCTTGGCGCTACCAGTCAATACCCTACAAGCTATGCCTCTCGAGTATTGACGGCAGGCATAATCCAGCCCTATGCAGGGACTTACCGGAAAAGTGTACACGTGTCTTGGACTAGGAAAATTCTGCTCTGTTATCTTCTGGGAGCCCTTTCGGCTCCCCCTATTTAATCCTATGCTTCTCATACAAATATCTAATGAAATGTAGTCGTTTCGGATCTCTACCGACCCTTCAGCTGAGTTCCGGCGACCGTTGAGCTCAGCGGCTGTCCGGATAGCATATCCGGACAGATCGCCGAGTACTTACCGTGATCCTTGGCTCCTAAGCTCTGGGTTATCAGACCGAGCCGATTCTTGACCTAAAGTAGGTCGGCGTATGGTCGAATCTGGAAATCCCTACACCACACTAGAAAAGCGCAAAACCTTGCGGCTCTCATGACTAAAGAAGATTCGGAGATGCACAGCAAGAACATGACGATCGCCACGCTGGCTCGAGCGCTGGAGGTTCATCCAACGTACATCGGCTTCATCAACAGTGATCAAGTACAAGGTGCTGATGGTGGACAAGAATGTCAAGGCCCCGATTGCGTATAAGCTGGCGAAATTACCGGCTAACAAGACGATTATTGATGCAAATGAGCTAGTACGCGTCTTCCTGAAGGATCTACTCCGCAAATGCACAAAGAAGGTGACTGCACTGCAGACAGCGAGCGAGCACCTATCAGAACCCGAAGTTGTCGTGGAAATTCCTGGTCTAGGAGTATTCAAAACTAGCACGCTTGCTACAATGAAGAGATATCATATCTCCATCCAGACGGTTCACCTTGTAGACAGAGTGGTCAGATGGTGCCAGACGATTAACTTTGACATCCCAATGCCCCCTGCGTTTAAGACTAAGGAGGATCCTGACATGAAGGCCAAGGTCGAACGATCCCAGTTGCTGGCACCTGAGGTACGAACACCAGACATGAACTTTGTCCACTCACCTCTAACCATCTAGAATGAAATCTTCTGTAGACAGAAATGCTGGAGATCGCTGCTAAAGGCTGCTTGGGTGACACGACGATGCAACACCTGTTGGAGAAACTCTTTGGAACGAAGTCGTCCATTGTCGTGGGGAGCTCCTATCTGATAACGGTCGAGTCCCCAGCGAAAGTGACATTGGACAACGATAGACTGGCCGATTTATTGTTCGGGCTATCCTTCGAGAAGGTCATAATACCAGTGAATGCCCACGGCAACCACTGGTGTGCGATCATGCTCGATGTGAGCGCTCGAATTTTGTATACGTACGATACAATGGAGTCGTCGTACAGGATTGGCCTCCGCACTGCTGTTATTAATCTCTCACTGATGGTCCCGGGCCGCGACAAGCACAGGATCCGCATCCAAACATATGAGCCTCAGTTGGGGATCCAAACCGACAGCTACAACTGCGGCATATATGTGCTGCTAGCGTTCGAGGTATTCGCTGGGGCGGACACACCGGGTTGTCTCGACAAGAAGAGCATTCAGTACCTGCGCTACAGGTACATGACAATGTGTGTCTAGCTTGTCTAGCTAACTTTCAATGCATACTTCTATTCTAGTTCTTAGTGCTCGTTAATATTGTTATAATTGCTATGAACGAAAGTGTTTGTTTAACTCGAAGTGTTTCCAGCTATGCAGTCCGCAGCTGACGATGTGTCTGCATAACACATCGTCTGCATAACACATCGTGTTAGGCGGGCTGCACATTGTCAGATTCGTATGAGTACAAAGGTTTATATGAGTACATGGGTGTGGTGTTGAGAGGGAAGTTGTACCTCAAACTCATCCTGTGTGTCCCTTTGTGTGTCAGACACAGATTAAACTCTTGCGGCTATACGTTATTCGCGCGTATACTTTGGTCACTGCCTCTCGTCGAAACGGGCACAACATGGTCATCAAATGGGCCGTCATGCGCTGACACGGGGTGACATGGTGTGACTTGGGCCCAGATGGGCAATGTGCCTCGTCACATTTTCTCTCAGACGGGCTCCCTATCACTAGCCTTTTGGCAAAGAGAATTGCGTGTACGTCGATGGTGAAGTGGGACTTATGAGTCGTTCTTTTTTTTGCCAAATAGCAAAACTAGAATTCACTTTTTTACATTTAACGTTTGAGGAAAAATACTTTTTCATTACAATAACGATCAGTTTTACTTGGTGACCGCAACACTGTGGCGGGAGCTTACGGACAGCTTCTCGTCCATTAGGTCCTGGACCTCGTTGCCGAGATGGTCGAGCTCAGGTGACGACGACATACCCATGTTCATTTTCTTCATGATGAACACAAAGAAGACAAAGTTGATGACGCTGACGGCGCCTACCGTAAAGAACATGTTCTCGAGGTGATCCTCGTTCAAGTTGTCGGACGGTAGCGACTTGGAGAACATGATGGTGAAGACCGAAGTCAGGATAGAACCCATTGAGCTCATGAACAGGATCACCGCTTGAGCCATAGACTTCAACGACATGGGTACAGATGAGTATACCAGATCGTAAGATGTGACATTGATCAGACACTCAGCCAGACCAATGAAGACGTAGTTGGGGACAGCAGCACCCCACGAGATATCGTTCATGGGTTGTGAGCTACCGCCATCAAGGATCGGGTCTCCGTTCGCGTCTTGCAGTGCACCGGCATTACGACGAATCACTTCAAAGATACCAGCCCAGAAAATACCGATAATGGCGATGATGAGCCCAACCCCGGACTTACCGAACTGAGACGGCGACTTGCCAGCCCATTTGGTGTAAAGCGGGTAGATAACCGAGTCGAGAAGAGGGATGCAAATGACAATAACAATAGGGTCAAACACTCCGAGCATGGCTCCAGGGATCTGTTTACTGTCCGGGTCGCTCGTGTCAAGACGCAAGTCGCACTGCTGTGTGATGGACTGGAAGTTGGCATCCGTCTGGTCGTACGCGCAGTTCCAGATGATCGTGAAGGCGGCGTACGGTAGCACACGCACCAGTTTCTTGTACCCCTCGACACGCTCGTCATCGAACGTGCCGCCCATGCTGCTCTTGGACACATCCAGGAAGGATTGGCTCTGACCGGCATACACCCAGCCCACAATACCGGCAAGAACCAGCACTGCAGCGATGTACGAAAAGATGTTGCCGACATTTCCCTTGTCGACTGTGAAAGCCGAAATGACGTTGACAACCAATGCAGCTAAGAAGCAGAAAGTGGCACATACGAGGATGAAGCCATCGCGAGTCTGATGAGCATTAGCCCAACCAAGACGACACATCATCGAGATGGAACGGTCGTTGGGTGGTTGGAAGACATAGCGACGGTAGCCGATACACAGCACGACGACAGCAAGGACCATGACACAGGCACAGATCATGTACGTGGCGAAGTAACCGTACTCTGCGGGGATCTGAGCCGAGCCGTCAACGCACAGAACTGACAGGTAGCCATAGGACACACCGGAACCGACGTTGATACAGAAGTAGAAGTACGAGAAGTACGACTCCTTCTGCTGTACCTCACTGGGGTCGTATGGGTCGAACTGGTCAGCACCCAGGGTGATCACGTTGGACTTGATTGCACCGGTACCAATACCGATACCGACGAATAAACCGACGATGAAAATGGGGTTTACGACAGCAGAATCCGTCATGATCGTCGGGTAAGCAGCGATAGCCACAAGGAAATCACCGATACAGTACCAGATACCGAACGTCAGGATGGTACGGAAACGACCCCATCGCTCGTCTGCTAGGTAGGCACCGAATAACGGAGTTAAGTAGCAAATGGACGTCCAGGTGCTTTTCAACGCACTGGCAGATACCAGACTCCATCCGATCTTTTGCATGAAGTTCTTGAGACCTTGGTTAATGCCGTAGTAACTGAGACGCTCAGCTAACTCCACCATGAGGATGAAGGAGCAGACTTGGAACAAGACGCTCTTGTACTTGCGTGGACGTGCTTCCCACATGGTCTGGACGGACTCGTAGGGTACTGCCGGCGACCCCATTGGCGACTTGATAGGAGCATTGGCCACTCCCATGATGACCCACGAGGATTCTTATCGAAGTGCTTGCTGGAGCTCCAATTTGGAAATGAACGAACTTCGCTATGGCACCATGTCAGTGCACGGCCTCAGGACTGGGTGCAAGAGACACGACAACAAAGACTTGCAAAAACTAGTCGTGACCTATTACGAAACAAACGGCTGTCACGACAACAAAGTCTACAAATGGAAGCCACTTTTTTAAATTTGCGTTTTGCAAGTTTGTACCGGCAGATGTAACCCTCATGACGTAGTCGGTTATAATCGCCTGGGCAGAAGGAAGAGAATATCATACGTTGTACTTGTCATTTCAACTTTCTTCACCAGTAAAAGGTGTCGTAGTACGACACCTTTCTATGACTCGTAGTACTACAGTTTGAAGTGGAGTAGCACCATCTTGGCCTGGCAAAGGTGTAGTATACTTGTATGAGATAAATTCGTCGACATTTTCGTCTACTGTTTGTTGTACCGGTATCATGAGGATGGGCAGGTATTGCCAACCTGAATGCAAAATCCAGCCAGCAACCAACGGCACTTATCTACGAGTAAAATGCATTCATATCAAGAAGCTTCAAAGCTCATCAATCTCTCTATTTCTTAATGTAGAATTGCTTGAGCATCTGCAGAATAAAAAGCATAACCACATCATTAAAAAAAAAACTTGTGTACATGGTCTACAGCTCTGCGTACCTCCTCTTCGAGTGGGTGCACCTCTCCAGTGATGGCCAGACAGTGCAGCGGAGCGCCAAAGTCGGCGGTCAGCAGCTCCTCCATCGTGCCAGCGATGATCGTCTGGTCCTTCTGGCCGAGACGTGCCATGCCCACACAGATCGTGTCCTTGCTATACGCTCCTTCCTGACGTTTCTCCTCGACCTCAATGAGCTGTTCAATAGCCTGATTCACTGACATGAAGCGCGGCGGCAGGTACACTGTGCGTCCACGACACATGGCTTCAAAGTCGGGCTCCTTCACCTTAATGTCCAGTAGACACAGCGTGTGCATGCCGCCCCGACGGTTGTACTGGATCTTCTCGTAGAAGCTGTCGGGGCGCCATTCGTCCCGGAAGAAAGGGATGGACACAGTCTGTCCGAACGAATAGAGCTGCAGGCCGCAGGAGCCTGCAGCGCCCATGACGGACGCGTTGTGGATCACTTCCACCTTAATATCCAGCTCCTTTGCGCGCAGAATCAGGTCAGAGTGGGTCGTAGCGCATAGCGGATCGCCGACGACCAAGAAGGCAACGTCGTCGTCTTTAGCATCGGCGAAAATCTGGTCGGCGCCGGTCTCGACGCAATCGCGGTCGGCTAGAATCACCTCACGGCCGTAGAACTCGCCCAATTTCTCCAGTTCCACGCCTAGTACGGACGTGTAGTTCTCTAGGAAGACCTTCTTGGACTTCTTGATCGCGTTTAGCCCACGTAGCGTCACGTCCTGCTCGTCGCCGAGACCCAAGCCAACCACGTACAGCACCATGATTGCAATCAAAACTAAAAAAAAAAGGTGTGGCGTACACCAAGGTTGGATGAAAGTGTAACCCCTGTTAAAGCGTTTTTCTTTCCGAAAAATTAGGTTACACCGGATCCTAAATTTCCGGTGACTGGATACATGTACAATGCTGAGGATTTCTGACCATCTCCATTTCGCTACGAAAGTCTACAGTACCCAAGTGATCTATGAACTCCTTTTAATACACAGAGTTAGTACAGTGTAGACAATTCGCAGGTTAACTCCTCTGGAATTTCCCCATTTGAAACAGACAAACCGGTTCTTCGCTGTACCTTTGCCAAGGACTTCGTGTCTTCATTTCCGCCGCCGGCTCATGAGCCGGTGACGGAAATGGAGACACTTCTTTTGCAAAAGGTGATCTCAAGTCCCTTTTTCTTGCTCAATTTGACATGCATGTCAAATCCAAAAAGAGCGGGACCGCCAAGATTTCCATTAATTTTCCAATCAAAGCTCCGACAGTTCGCATCGACGCTGCCTTCCTGCTCATCGCGAGAACTCCAGATCCGGTAAGGAATAAGTGGTACGGAAACAGGGGGGTTAATTGGCAGTGAACCTCACGATGCGTGTTTAGTTTAAGGAGCACCCGCTTCCAATACAAGTGTCGAGTCTTATGGACAAGGACATCGAGGATTGAAGGCGCGTGCAGTACTGTACACTGTAGCAGCGATTTTTTTTCGAATGACCATCGCCGCGGTCAACCATCTTGAAGTTAAAGCTTCGCAGTTTTTTTTACAGATGAGGATGTCGTGACCCCGATAAAAGCAAGCCGCGTCACACAATCGCAAGTTTGCGCTACATTGCTTGACAACTTGTCTTTTCATTGACAAGACGCGAATCCGGGCCTGCACACTAAACTGTAATATCTAATAATCGCATGACGATGCCTACTGGTGTATATTTAAGCTAATGAAAATCAATACTGTACTCCACCCTACTGGTATGGTAAACATGTACTTCGAAGTACAGTACATCCAGCTTTAATTCTGACAATTTATTGAGTTACGTCGCCCCGGTATACCGGTGGAGAATGAAGCTGTCACCCCGGTATACCGGATATACCGGTGGAGAATGGTCTTCTTCTTCTCATTTCTTCCTGGGTGATTCAGTTGTCAACGTGGCTGCAGCATTATCCGCTATACATGATGATATAGGCAACGTCTTGTCGTATATTGCAGCCGTACTAATACTTGTTGGGGCCGTCTCGTAGGTACATTGGTCAGGATCGGTCGTTCTTGGATGCATCTAAAGTCAGTCACTTCGACGACGAGCGCGCTGAGGGATAAAAACCATTAACCCGCGTCTTACCTTACTCGACCTTTACCATTATCTGAAGCTGCGATCAGACAGACGCCAATTTCCGGTCCATAAGCCAGTGCGTCTTGATACTATCGACGCGGACAGCAAACAGATCCCTGGTGCTCTTTGATCCGATCGTGTGTATCCCCCTTCTCAACTCCTTCGTGTACCCCATATACCACAAGTGGACTGGTAAGCCTGCCAGCCAATTCGTAAAGCGGCTACCGGTCTCGTTATGGCAATCGTTGGTCTCTTTTGGACGGGTCGAAGTGATCCGTCGTAACGCCGGTGCACCGCAAGACGAAAGCGAAGACCCGATCCTTGATGGCGGTAGCTCTCAGCCCATGTCTCGTGGGGTGCTGCTGTCCCCAACTACGTCTGTATTAGTCTGGCTGAGTGTCTGATCAACGCAGTGATGGGTAAAAATGTACGGGAGGGCATTGCAAAGAAGGCATCACTATGCAATATGTATTGGAGTAAGCCATCACGTAGCAGTAAGAGCTGCAATACCTAACACAGCATGCGCAACCGTGTCAGCATGCCTGTCATGCTTCAAAACCAGCAACTTCTCGAAGTTGACGTGGGCTAAGCGCTTTCGGATCGAGCGTAGACACTCCACTACGGCCCGAGGGCGGCTAGAGGAAGATTAAACAAATAGTTGATTTGGTGTGAGGACTTCAGCACTAATTGCAGTATCGTGCTTCCAGCAGTATGTATTGCAGTATTGTAAATGCTTGCAGTATGACATTGCAAGTAGTATTGATCAACGCCATTACTTAAAATATTGGCGTACCGGCCGTTCCGTCCGGGGTTCGCAGTTCGAAGCTGATCTATTTCTAAAAGTACTGATCGATTTCTAAAAGTGATACAAGGAAAGAAATTTCTAAAAGTATACGCGACAGAAAGCGGAAAAGTAAAGTATGATGAGAACAAAGAGAGAGGAGAGCACGAGACTACAAAGGGCGGTTCTTACTTGGTATGAATGACAGTGATATTCTGGAGCTTGGTGTCGACTTGGCAGGAATCATGCACGAGCGCGAGCACGAGAATACAAAGTGCGATTCATACTTGGTATCAGAAAAGCGGAAAGTAAAGTGAGATGAGATCAAAGAGAGAATATATTGAGTGCTGGTAGCGTATGTTGATAGCATGGGCGAACACGAGACTACAAGGTGCGATTCTTACTTGGTATCAATGAATGACAGTGATGTTCTGGAGCTTGGTGTCGACTTGGCAGCGGTTCCTGTAGAGACGTAGCTTCGTCGGCGAGAATGTAATCACGTTCCCCGGTTGCGGCAAGCGTGGATCTCCTACGTCGATTTCGTAGAGCGACATTGTGATAAGGAATTGATTTGCATTGAATGGATCTTGGCTTTGGGCTTCTTGGTACTCCTGTCATATGCAAAACAGTGAGTAGTTTATAATGGATGTGGATAGATGCACGATAACAAGACGCTAAACCTTTTGTTGGTCTTTCAGTGGCTCTAGCGCCTGAGCCTCGCCCAGATATAGTCGCAAAAAGTGCAGGCCTCTTACTGTCTCCGCGGTTGTCCACAGCAGACGCGCTCTGATGCGAGCCGACGATCGTATCTCTGGGTTCGTCATGTCATTTTTCGAGATGAACTCGCGCAATCCTATTGCATTCACAAAAATAATTTGATCGTATGAATAGCGTAAGATAGTACTAAAAATATGTAGCGCTTACTATCAATCGTATCGAAAAGTTGGTGGGGATGAACACTCATCGTCTTGCGAAGTTTTTTCAGAGGAGATACGTACTTGGGCTCTGGGTTTGTGACGGGGTCACACAGCACCTTGCACAGAGGAAGTGCTTAAGGGTATTAACTACCCGAGTGAACGTAAGTCCACGTGTTCCCGGCCTCAGTGGGAACGGTTTGCTACTTAGAGGAGTAGATTTAAGACTGATGTATTTATAAGTAAGATAAGCTTGGGTCTCATACAAACTAGAGGTTACCTATAGTGGAGCTAAGTAGTCATGCACTGACTGGTTCCGAGAGCACCTGGTACCGTGTACCAGGTGTCCACAAGAGTGACGGGTCACTCTTTATGTAACATGGGGCACACTGGATTGTACCCCGTTACATCCTCCCGCACTTAACTGAGAATCACCTGATTCTCTAATCACAACTGATTCTCCAATCAGAAGTGAGAGAATTAAAACACCAAAAGGTGAATTCTCACACTGAGCAGCCACGAGACTGGCGCGGCTCTCAGTCACACCCACAGTGACTTGTGCTGCCAAAGCTCATTGGGATTTGCATCCCTATGCTCACAACTGTGTTGGCCGCAAAGCCTACTCTCAGAGCTGCCTTAGCTCCTGCGCTAGCGCTCGTAGAGTGCTATGGCACAGGGTGCAGTAGCATCCGAACGTGTGGCATTCGCCCACAGTTCGCACCAGAGGACACGACAGTCCTCGCGAACGCGTTCGGAGCATAGTGTCTCCCGCGAGGGACGACACCGAGAAGGGCAATACCTTCTCCAGTACTAGAGGAAGCTCTCCGCTCACCTCGAGCCATGCCTTTGGCTCCAGCAAGGATCCATCCTTGCGGGCGGAGCTTCTGCCTCGCTCTCTTCGCGTCTTGGTCAACATACCAACGGCGCGCAGGTGTCCTTCATCGACACCGTGTACCGTGACGGTACACAACCGTGGTGTAGGTGTCTCCCATCGACACCATGTACCGTACGGTACTAACCTTTGGTGCGGTACGCCCACCACAAGGTTACCATGTTTGGCGGCAACAGCTTCTGCTGTGCTGTCGCCTGAACAGATTCATGGCCAGTGCTCGCATCATGCACGACGCATGTGCAAGCACAGTGTATAGGTCCATGGGACCGTACACGAGGCACGCTGTGTACGATACGTACCACAGCTACCATAAGTGCTCCGTGCACTTCATGTGTGTCATGCACGACGAGTTCATTACGTGGAACTCCTGGCAGGTTGCTCGACAGCAGCCAGTGCCGATGCACGGTACGTGCGTTGACTCACAGCGTCCAGAGCGCATCGGGTCGTGGTATGGTGCATATTCTTTGCACCTATACCAGTGTCTGTCACAGACACCATGTACCTTGATGGTACTCGACCGTGGTGGGGCATATCTCACCACCATGCCACTGCGGCGTTGGTGTCTGGTATTGACACCGAGTACTCACGGGTACCAACCCATGGTGAGGCAAGCTGCCGTCGCCACGGTGTCATGCTCGGCGCGGCACCAGTTACGACTGCGTGCCTTGCCTCGACCACCACCTGGTCAGTTGTGTGTGCACTCGTGCACCACACTTGGGTTATGGCTTCACGGCCCATTATACCCGGCGCGTTGCGTACATCACGTACCGCAACCGCTTTGTCGGCGGGTGAGACGTTCCGTTCACCCTACTCGACAGGTCGTTCATGACCAAGGGACTTACACTAGGCCCGCGCTTCGCCTCGTGTGTGGTTGCTTGCAACCCCAACACTGCTGATTCGCTCAGCGATTCCGAGGCACCTTGCGCCCGTGGCTTTCTTCGCCACTATGTCTTGTTCGGCTAGAGCTACCGCAGCTCTAGCCCGGCTGTTCGCCTCCAGCCTGCAGTCGATGTACATCGACGCCTGGTTCCGTAAGGAACTTGGTCTTACCTCAAGACCAGGGAGGAAAGGTATTTCCGAGCCT